TTTAGCTGTAACAAAATAATCCAATCAATTTTTACAATTAATAACGTTTCATTCGAACACATACATAAAGTTTCAAAAATTAAAATGTGCAGGGGACAGAATAAGTGGAAGGATATATTAAGTAAAATTTGTAAATACAGTATGCTATAAAATTAAATGTTGCTTTGCAATTGTTTGACATTTTTTTTAGTAGCTTATATTTCAAAAACAATGTAAAGCAGAAACACTGGATCTAAGATGTATTAGACCTTAAGTTCTAGATCAACTGGCCATGGAAGAATGGTTAAATATTAAAAGAAAAGTAGCAGCTGTTGAGACATCATTGGCTTGACAGTTCAATCAAAGTTCAGGCCATTGAGACTATTCCTGAACTTTTTTTGTTTGTTTGTTTTGGATTTAGCGCAAAGCAACAGGAAGTCTATCTGCATTAGCCGTCCCTAATTTAGCAGTGTAAGACTAGAGGGAAGGCAGCTAGTCATCACCATCCATCGCCAACTCTTGGGCTACTCTTTTACCAACGACTAGTGGGATTGAACGTCACATTATAATGCCCCCACGGCTGAAGAGGCGAGCATTTTGGCTGTGACAGGGATTCGAACCCGCGACCCACAGATTGCGAATCGAGCGCCCTAACCATCTGGCCATGCCTTTTTGGTTTGCAAACCCTTTTTTTAAAGTTTGTTTAATTCTATTGTTTATATGCTATTTAAAAACACAAATATGGTGTTTTAAATTTTAATTCATGTAAAACATTGAAGAAATGCAGCATAAAAGTAATACTAAAGATTACCCTAAGAACCTTGGCTTTCTCCTTCCCACTTGCCCCTGTCTTAGAAAACTTTGTGCCTATGAACGTTTTATTGACCTAGATGTAATTGTACTTTATTTTCATAATTTCCATTTATTACCATACATTTAGTTTTCTTTTTGATCATTATTAATTTTTACTTCTTAATAAAAGTCATATAATTTGTTTCCTTTCAGTGCCTCTTTAGTAGCAAAGAAGAATACTTAGTTCTTCAAAGAAAACTGATATTCAAAATAAATCAATTTGTTTGTATAAAGTACAACAATGAAAGCAACTACTGGAAATCTGCCCTACACTTCCTCTTACACTGATACATTCAGTCCCTATTATAACATCTGTTGATACACTTTTTAAATTATTTTAAATGTTTTTCTCAACATTCCCTCGATTTAGGCAATAAAAATAAAATATTCCAAAAAATTGAATCAGTGAATCAATATATATTTCTTTTTGTTTATTGCTTACATAATCAATCAATAGTCTTAGTATCATATATCTTCAACACATGCACCTTCTACCTTTTTATCCCACTATATTTTACATTTGGTATAAACTAGAATTATAAATATGTTCAAATTACAGCAAGGTATTGTTCAGCCAAACACTAATATCTTGTCTAGTCCCACCTTTTCTTGACTTAAAATTGTCGATTTAACTTTCAGCTTCTGCTATTGAGATTGGATTTCAAAGAATCAGAATAATGAATATTGAACAATCAAGGTCATAATTTCTTAATTGTGATTAATCATTTGGATGTTTATCATAAAGTTTCAAAATAAAATTGTGGATTCAGCACCTTACAATTATGTATTGGCATTTTTAAAGGGATAACATACAATTCATTGAATTCAATATTCTACTAAATACCTGTTTTTATTGTAAGACACCTGAAGCAACTGGATATTTTTGAGGGGATTTTACAATAGCTTCAGTAAGTTTAGCATTTTAAAAGAGTTAAGAAAGAAGTTATAACAATTTTCTGAGTTTTTGAGTGAGCATGTACATGAAGTAATGGCAAAATCAAGGTCAAGAGGTAGAAAGTACAGCTAGCTGGTTAAGTGGTATTGAGAATCACTAATTAAGAGTTACAAAAATGAAGTTATCGCCTAGCAACAAAGTAGATGCACTAGCACCAGTGATTAATTATTGACGCCAACTCGTTAGTACTGTGGAAGCTACGAAAAAGTTGATGTTAACATGCAAAAGCGGTACTTTGATGATATGTTCCTTACACGACACTGGTGTACTAGCACAAGTGAAAGGC